CCCCCACCTCCAGCCTCTGCAGCCCCGGTGGCTCCGTCCCTCCTGTCTGTGTGCTGGGAAGGTGAGGCCAGGCCTCCCTTTCCTTGTGGGAAGAGAAACCCAAGCCAACGCTCCGCTGTGCCGTCGGTGGTGCCGGGAGGGGGCAAAACCACTGCCCTTTGCGTGGTTGATTTGGGGGTGAGGGGAAGGGGGTTGAACCCTCTGAGCAAAAGCCACACTAAATTACAGGAGTGCTGGCGGCTGTGCCGCTATGGGCAAGGGCAAAACACAGTTATTTGTCAAGGTTAACCACTGCCATCGGCCTCTAGCGGGCAGCTCAAAGCTGTGGTGCAGCCACCCCTGTGCCGCGGGCTCTGTGAGCTTGTGGCCAGTGTGTGCTTTGTTCAGGAAAACAGGCTCAGGAATCTTTCCTCCCCTTCACACCTACAGGCTGTACCTTTTAATTTGGCTTTTCTGGCGTTGTGGACCTAGTGGTGGTGAAACAGCTGGGGAATGGGTCTGTGAGTGGATGGCCAGGCAAGGGAAGTCCTTAGCCTGCTGGGGATGGAGGTGCTGTGTTTTCTTTGCTCGGCTCCTTTTCAAGATCTGCGTTGTTCCTTCTGACTTGCCCCTCTCCGAGACCATCCTCCTTCAGGATATCGTTACCCACACGCTGATTTCAATTTTAATGACCCTTAATGAGGCTGCTTTCCAACTCAGTTCTTTCCTCCCAGAACTGACCATTCTTGTTACTGCATCCTTTCAACCCAGAGAACCTCCTCCTGTTTCCACACTCTTTTTCTGGCTGTTTCCCAGGCAGGCTGTAAGATGAGGGCTGAGTAGGAGAACTGATGCCCTGAACTGAGGGTATTCAGAGGCAGTGGCAGACCTTGCTGTGTCTCCAAGCTGTCACTTGCTGGATGCTCTGGAACAGCTGGGACAATTGCACATGAGATGGAGCTGTGCTGTTGGATGGCCAAAGCCAGGCTGTGCCATGGTTTGGAAGTGCTCCCCATTGACTGCCTGATGGTAAAGGCTGCCAGGCACAGCAAGGCACAAGGAGCCACGTGTCTGGATGGTCCAGTACCTATCCTGTCTCCTCACCTGACTCAGGGAGCCCTACTCAGGCAGGTGGAGATTTTCCAAGGCCAGATTTGTGGCTGAGCAACATCCACTGCCCCTGGGAAGCGGGGAAGGGGAATGGCTGCAGGGGACAAAGAAATGGGCTAAGCACAGCAAATGAGTTAAGCACAGCTGTGCAGAGGCAGGAGCCAGCATGGAAGATGGTGCCTGGAGTGGCAGCTTGTTCCCAAACCTTCTCTGCTCCCCAAACTTTCTGACTCACATCCTGCATCTACCACCATGGTGTGCAGATGCTGTCCCTTGCTTCAGGCATGTTTCACAGTCATACCAGAGCCCTCCTGAAATCCGGAGTGAAGCGCTGTTCCACTCGAAGTGAAGCATTGGTCAGGCCCATCATAAACAGTAAGCTCTGACATTTAACACATGTAATATTGTTTGCTCAGTTTTAAAAAGGAAATATTATCTAAGGACTCCTCCGAAGACTAGAGCCACCCACACTTAGTTGTGTTAGGTTTGGCCAGTTTGCCCTGTGTAATACTGCTATCACTTCCAGAACATAACATTCTGAGCCCCTTATAAATTGTGCAGCTTACTGAATGAAAACCTTCTCTGTATGTTTGAAAATTCCCCCCTGCCCCCAGATCCTTCTTGTGATAGAGAATAAATAAGGGAAAAATTTATAACTCCATAAACTGATAGAAAATTAGCACAGCCATAAAAGGCGTCTGTGGCTTTAGCAGTGCAGCTGAAAAGGAAAAATGAATAAACCTGCCACTCAGAAAGTAAAAGGCAGAACTGAAGAATGACTGCTGCCATTTCAGCCTCCTGGCCCTTCTCCCTCTCTGTGCAAGTGCAAAAATAGCCTCATGGCCCTGTGCAGGCAGCGGGGAAGTGCTGTGCTGTGGGACCCTTCCTGCAGACACCACCATACAGCGCATGACTGGAGGATATCCTAAATTAATTTACATGGACTTATAAATATATGCATGTGTGTGTATTTGGTATGAAATATGAAACCAGCGATTTCTTAGCCAACCCCTTAATTTGTCTGAAACAGCACAGGCATAATGGAAACTGCCCACACATTTTTCCATTAAAAGTTACAAAGGGAAGGGAAGGGGGGGAAGCTGGTGATAGAAAAACACATGCTTGTCTCAGCTGGCACAGAAATGCCACGCAGCCAGGCGGCAACACGCACTCACTCCAGCTTCCTGGGAAAAGTGGCATCTTAATTCCGGTGCTTGCTGGTGGTCTTGCTGCTGATGCCCTCCGTCCTCAGCACGCTGGGTTTTGTGTTTTTGGAGGGGAGGGACATGGCTGTGCAGGTGCACGCAGTGAGCACAAAGAAATCCGAGCTTGCCCATGTCCGTTTTTGCAGGTTTCCTCTTCTGGATTAGAGAGAGCCTTGCCGTGGCACTGCCCCTGATGTGGCATCTGATGGTTGTGTGGGTGCCTTGGAGCCTGCAGAGTAGCTGTGTCTGGATGGGTTATGAACAGGCTCCCCTGCCCTGCCAGTGTCTTGTCCATGCTAGGAACGGTGATCTCCAGGTTCCTGCATAGTCTGTCCAGCCTGAAGGTGAGTAACTTTCTCCAGGGAGGGATGAATACTGCTGAGAGTAAGCCAGGGTGCTGTGAACCAAACTGGCTGCTGGGCAGGTCCAGGGGTGCCCTGATGGAGACCACAGGAAGGGAAGCAAGGGAAGGCCTCGGGGAACACCAGCAGCTCCTCAGCAGCAGCAGCTCCCAGGACCATCACCAGCACTCCCTCAGTGCCTGTGCTCACCACCACCGGTAAGAGACTGAGGCATTGAGGCTCTTTGTGTCCTGGCAGGGGCAGATTCTTGAACAGGAAAAGGCAGCTTTCCCCCTTTCCTGCCTTCGACTGGCCTGACCCCACCCAGCTGGAAGTGTCAGGTGCAACCACCCCAACCACCTCAGCACAGAACGCTGTGTCTGGAACAGGCAGAGCCCCACGAGCTCCCCAGCATTTTTCCAAAGAATGCCTTGTGTTGACAGTGCTAACCAGTTTGCACAGCGGGAGGGGGGGAAGTGCAGCTGGTGACTGGTGCAGGGCTGTGGGGATTGAGGGCTGTGTGTATGGTTCTGGTTTTCGCTATATTGTCCTATAACCCATGTGCCTCGCTGCGGGTTATGGCAGTGGAATTTTGCTGCTCAGCAGCTGTCCAGGCAATGTGAAGCCAGGCCCACTCATCCTTTTAACCATCAAAGGTACGATCCAATCCATTTATGGCTGCCTTGGGGCACTGCTCCACACATCCTTCACAGCAGCTGTGCCAACTTAAGGCGTTCCCACCAACCCGACTCTGAAGCCGTGCCGTAATCTGTATCTGCTGATTGACTGGGGGTTAAAAATAAGTTGGATGGCTTGACTGATTCCCTGTTTCAGTTTCCCTGTTCAGTTCTGCTTGTTTCAACGCCCTCATATCTTTGGTTGAGTGTTCCAATATGCCCATTCTTTGGTAATTTGGAAACACAACAGCACCTTCTCCTAAACACTGACCTGTGCCTGGAAGCCACAAACCCTTCCTCAGGTCTTGCTCCAGTATGAACAGCTCTGTGTTTAAGAGACTGAGCAAAATTTGGCCCTGGTAAACTCCAGCACCTTGCTAAGCTCTACTATACAAAGTCATTCCAGCTACAATTCTGATCGTTGGGAAGGAGATAAAATGAAGAAGCAAAAAAGTAGCCCAGCCCTGAATGGATCATAACTTATTATAAAGTAGGACAGACTTCGTTTTTAATTAAGACCATTGCTTAAGACTGCAGAAATGTGGATACTCTAGATCTGTGCTCCAGAAGTCATCCTATGAAACACCTGGTGGGTCCTATCAGAGATTATTAGGCTGCCTCGGAGTTTCCAGCCTTGGCAAATGGCAAGCGGTAAGACTTTGTGCGTCATTTCATTTATTAGACTAATTTTTCCTCTTCCCTGGCACTTTATGTGTTATGTTCTGTGTTAACAGTGGAGTAGCATTTCTCAATAGCAGCATAATTTTCTACTCCACAAAGTGAGGGATGCGTTTTATAGTTCGAGAATTGTGATTGTCCTCTCATCTCCCTCCCAGAGAAACCCGAGAATGTTGTTCCCCCAGCGTGCTCCAAAGCGAAGTAAGGAGCAGAGCTCTCTCCCCCATGTTGCAGATAATACCTGCCTTCCCTATGAAGTGACTGATCCTGGAGTTCCTTGTGCCTTTCATCCATCTGCTGTCAATTTAACTGGCTCCACTTGCTGGTGGAGCCTTCTTATGACCTTGCAAGAATTTACAAAATCTGGTTTCTATAAAAATTAAGGGGTGATCCCCATGTTTACCCTCTTGCTCAACTAACCATGTTTAGTTACTACCAGCTTGTGCTAGAACACATCCATGTCTCCCCCCCACCTCCGACCCAAGTCTGTGTCGGGAAGCTCCGATGACTTGGCCAACGTTTCCAGCTGCTGAGGTTGCCTCAGCAGACCAGTTGATGTTGCAGATGTGCAGTAGCTTTGCTTAGAGGCCCCGGCAACTTTTAAATTCCTTGATTTGGACTACCTGGGCAGACCTGACCCTGCCCAGACTCGGCAGGGTTGTTGTGCCTGTGTTAGTGCTGGGGGCACCCCATGCCTGTCCGTGGGGTTGCAATCGACTGGACCCGAAATGCCAACAGAGCCAAAGATCTGCAGCATCTCACAGAACCCTAGCATGGTTTGGGTTGGGAGGGACCTTAAATATCAGCTCTGTGTGTCCATACACAGCAGAAGGAATTGTCTTGAGTCTTCCAGCTCAGGCTGACTGCGATGCCGGTCAGCTCTGCCGCTGTGTGAGGTTCCACATGCAGGACACACGTGTGTGTCAGACCACAGAGCCCAAAACCAGGCATTTCTCTGCTAACACTGAGCCTTAGGCTTCCAAATGAAGACACTGACTTGCAGCAAGGCAGTCTTTTGCAGGATGGAACTGTAAGTATTTATTTACCCATGGTGTAATTTTTATCTTTCATAAGAACGCAGGAATGAGCTGCTTAATGACAGGATTATGTATGTATGTACTTTATAAAAATTTGGAATTAAAACCTTTGCCTAACAACAGTCGTATTCTTGGCAGTCAAGTTCCATCTACAGAAACCTTTCACGTTAGAGACATATCCCACATGTGAGTTATTGTTACAATTCAATAAATACTTTACAAAAATAATGCTAGCTTTTTTAAAAAATTAAGACATTTTACCTCACCCATAGTTCCTCCCAGAGAGCTTCCTTAAAGAATAGCTACTTCTGTAGGACACTGTGCACTCAGCATAAGAAAAATGGGGGAAAAGGGCTGGTTGCATGCTTTATTCCAGAGATGTGTGGATTCCACTTTTCCTGTCCTTTAAAAAAATAAACTTCTTTCTTTTCTTAAAAGAAAGAAACTGGCAGATCCAAACATTCTTCATATTAAAAACTAGGAAGGAGTTGTGATTTTTTTTTTTTTTCTTTCCTTTGACACAGATTACTTCTCTGGCCTCACTCCTCCAAAGACTTACAGCGTGCTCAGTTTACAGGTAGCTGCCCTGAAGATCTGCTCCCCAGCACGAGATGTAAGCCCTGACAGCTGCAGCTCCATATCTGAGATGGCTCCAAGAGTGGGTTGTTTGGGACTCCACAGCATCAGGACCTTCAGGAAAAGCACAGCTACATCTTCCTGCAAGCCTACCCCAGATGGACTGCAAAGACCTGAGCTGGAAGGTAACGGGAAGAATTCCAAGAAAAAAAATTGCCAGGAATTCTTGTATTCACTTTTGACTATTACCCCTCCAAAAAAAAAAAAAAATTCTTCCCTTCTTAGATATGACCAGTCATGAAATCAATTATAGAGAAAATTGATGCTGTAGGTGCATTAATCTTGTAAACCATTCCCATATGGAAAAGTACATTCTTCAATCCTATTGTTTATAACAATTTTTAAATATGTGCCTCCTCAGCTGGGGCCTTGGGGCCTGATGGTGAAGGCAGCTGCCCACCCCCCCCAACCCCCCATTATGTTACAGTTGGGAAATAAAATGAAATGCACGTTATTACATGAACGTTACTGCAGTACAAAATCCTACCAGGACAAGATTTATGTATGTCTGTATGTAAAAATAGGTGTGTGTGAGATAGAGAGATATGTGTTTATAAATTACACACACTGTGAAAAATAGTTATGTATTATATTACAACTATATACATTCATTAGAAAGGAACTCATCAACCCCTGTCAAGGAGCCAGCGCAGCAGCCACCACCAGTTCTTTGGCATCCAGGAAACGAATGCTACTTTGTGTCTGAGTTCTCTGAGGAGGAAAACCTTCCTCAGTATTCCCTTGCCTCCTGAAATTGCTTGTAGTAGTCCTCGTCTGAGGGGTTTTCTGTGCACTTCTGCCCGTTGTTGGGGGGCCGGGCCTCGTTGTAGCGGCTCCAGTCCCCTTTGCATATGATCCAAGGCAGAATGTCCACTTTGTAATGGAGTTCTGCCGAGAATTCAATGCTGATCAGGTTTGGTGTGCCTGCCCCCTTCCCTCTGGTGATCAGCTGCATGTTGTCATCGTAGCAGCAGTGCTGTGCTGCCAGCGTGGTGCTTTCCAGAGAGAGCATGGAACGGATGCAGTACCGTGCCGTGGGCTTGTAGATCTCCAGTTTTTCCTTGGGACCACTTGCATCCTTCCAGCGAAAGTTTTTCCTCTTAAGTCGGTCGTAGATCTCAGCAGTGCTGTAAGCAACTTCTCTGGGGTAGGAGCATGGGCAGCTGGGAAGGTCATTGACCACTTTGTGCATATATTTCTTCAGGAACTCGCTCTTGCAGCTCATCCATCTTTCACAGCTATCGGTATCTGGTTAAGGGCAGGAAAGGGAAACTTAAGATACAATTATGCAGCATCCCAGTTGGTGTGATCAGTGATAACAAATCAGTAAAGCCTAACTGTTCAGCACCAGTGCTTTGCTTTAGAAAGGATGGGCAGCCTCAGTTTGCTGCCCTGCCTGCAATGTGTTAATGTGCCGTCTTGTCAGGTAAAGAAATCACACCTGCACCGACTTTAGGGCCTCAGGCAATGCTAGTCTTGAGTTACAGTGCAGGACCAGGCCACTCAGAATCTGTGACACTTCTTCTACCTGGCACATTCTAATTGTGCTGCTGATATCCCCATGCAGCACAAGAGACACTATCCTGGGTTAAGAAGCAACAGGAACAGGGAAATCACAGTGATTTGGTGCCAGTCTCCAGCTGAAACCCCCAGTCAGAACACACTCACCTAGTAAGCGTCAGATGTTGAAGGATTAAGTTTCTCATGACACTAGAGATTCCAAGATGCCAGGCAAGGCCTGGATTGCTTTTTCTGAAGTTCGTTTTAATCTCTAATTGAGTCCCTTTTTTTTTTTTTTTTTTTAAATTTACAAATACTTTTTTCTACTGGGGTCTCCATTTTCCCAAAGGGGTATTTCAAGCATCTGTAGTTCAAACATGGAGACTGACAGCTGGCAAATGCAGCCAAAAGTGATTCAGATTCTAAAAGGGCATATGTGACATAACATCAGAGTCGCTGGATTTAATGGCACCAGAGCTGGGATTAAAGAGATTTATAGAGCAGTAGCATATTTAATACTGGCACTTCATTATTTTGCAAGAGTCTTGGGAGAATCCAGTTGAACATCTCCTACATAAGACATTATTTAGGGTGTCTGTATCATGCTATGGGCTGTCAAAACCCCCCTGCTCATCTTGCTCCACACTTATTTAACAGGGCTCTGCAGCAGCAGGTCTAACTGGGACCTCAAACTCTAACAGCAAACATTCTTGCAAAATATTTACTTAGTGATCTGTGTCCTGTTTTTCTATCTCCTTAAAGAGTCCTATCCTGGCTGTCATTAACTATTGTGCTGTGCCACCATAGGAGGGAGGTGCCGGGTTACACTATTTATTCAGTTAGCCCAGCATTCAGTGTCTCTGAGTGGCCACACTGTGGATTCATTGGAGGGATGAAATCAGAACAGTACAGAGGTTGGGCTGAGTTTTAGACAGATCAGAACCAAGCCATGCACTGTAAAATTGCTCTGGCTACCCCCTCTGCAGCACACACAGCTATAAAAGCTATGCATGCTCATAAAAGTCACTGCCTTTTTTTTTTTTTTTTTTATGTGACAGCTGTATCTAAAATGCTTTTATAGCATCTTCCATTCAAGGCTATTTCAGCAAAATGCTAAAGAGTGTTTGATTTTTTTTTCCCCCTCTATTAATGTGAAGCCTTACAGCTCTTTTCTGAATTAGGACAGAGAATAACCATTTTAGAATGAAACGAGCACAGGAATTTGCTAAGACTTAAGAGGAGAAAGATTCAATGACTGAAGCAAACTAAGGTGCAGGTCACAAACACAAGCAAGATAATAAATAGCTGTTATTACCGACATTTTTAATGGTTAAACTCGATATCTTGGTCCCAAGAAAAAACTAAGGAAGTCTCTTATCTATTACTGAAAGATTGACTAGGCTGCTTACCAACTTCAAACAGTTTGGTGGCGTTGAAGTCTTCGCTCCCTGCAAGCAGGCTCACCTCGGTGGCAGCTGTCCGGAAAGTGTCTTCAATCCCTAAGACAAACAAGGGTTAGAGGTGTTTAGAGGCATTTTCCTGCCAAAACACAATGGAATCCGCTGCCTCCTCACCATCCCCTCCTTCCCCAGGCTCTGCAAGGTGCAAGCAATCTGAAGCTGCTGCTGGAGGGGAGTATAAGGACCAAGGAGTCTGTGGTGTTTGTTAGGAAGGTAAATCAGAGTGACATGCCTGGAGGCGGGTGGATAAGTTCATCTCTGTAAGTAGGAAACAGTTTTTTCAGGAATTACAAGGAGGAATGATGCTGTTACAAGATGACTGGTGATTGCTGGCCTCTCCCACTGCCAGGGAGTTGAAAGGTGTGGGCAGATGACACTAATCTCTCCAAGCAATTCCATCCCCACCACTTATAGCTATCTAATAAAATATCAGGATCTTAACATATCAGGATCTTCCAGCAACCTTCAGTTAAGTGTTTGCTATCAGTAGAGAGAGAGAGAGATTGCCAGAAAAATGTATTAACTGATCTTGCCAAAGTAAACATCCTTTTGTTGCTGCTTTAGTCCAGCCTGTAGACCAGCCTAATGTTTCCCCAATGTTTCTGTGCCATGTAGCCTTAAAACAAATATCTCCCCAAAGAAGCATTTGAACAGGTTTGGGTTATTTTTTTTTTTCCTCTCCATTGAATTAAAGACCTCTAAAGAGAGGAGAAAGATCTTTAATAGAGGATAACTATATAGTTAATAATGCAGTCTATTCACCATCCATCTCCTTGCCAATGAACTTTCTCCTGATGTCCTGAACTGGGCCATAATAGTGGCTTGCAAAGCTTCAAAACAGCCTCAGGCCACTTTTCAATAAAATTATCATAGGGTTTTGCCTTAACTGCAGCACTAGATGCAGAATAATAGATACCCAAGAACCCATTACAAGGCAGTAATTCACTGCTGGAATTATAAACAGCAGAAGTTGAGCTTTGCCCTTGTAATTTTAAAAATGTCAGCACAGCCTCAAAGAGTGAATATATTTTTCTTGCTGATTGTTGGAGGTCTGTTATACGACATAATGTATTCTTTCAACTTTGCCACTGTTTGATGCTAGCTGGTAATAAATACTGGAGAATATAACTGGGGGCTACATGCTTTCTTCTGGTATTAACCCCTTATTATTGAGGTTTTAGGATGTATGAAGGGCATCCAGAAACAATTTTCTCCTGAACTGCCTAGCAGCCACTGCCTTGCAATGGAGACACACATCTATCTGCGAGTGAGAAACTTCTCTCCAACTCTCTCACCGAGCCTCCTAAGTCTCCTCTCCAGCACTTCTGACATTTACTTCTGACATTTCCCATTAAAAAAAAGGCCTGACCTCCAGTTTAAGAATTTCTGCCTTTCTGAGTCATTAAGTAAACCCAGTGTAATGCAAACCACCACGGCTTGCTTTCACTGCTCTCTGATCTTGGGAAGTCATGAACTTGCACCCGTCCCATGCGTTGTGGCAGCTACTGCATGACAAACTGGTCTAAAGCCAAACACACAGCAGCATTTAAAGAACAGCACGGGAAGGTTTTCCGCAGCAGCTTTAAACTCTTATGATGTCGGTTTGAGTGCTCAGCCCTGCTTTTGCCAAAGTAAAGACTGCGGGATAGGAAGGACACCTTAAATGTCAATGCCTGTGGATGGGTAGGAGCCATATTTTCTGAATATATTCAAGCCAGAACTAAACATTCCTTCATCCCTGCTCACCATGCAGGCATTCCCGTTCACTGCACAGCAAAACAGGAGCTCGCTGAGGTAACAGCACAGCTGGTGTGAAATTCTAAAATGAATTCAAATTTGTTTCAAGAGAGTAAATGGCACCCTTTGGAATAAAAAATGCCTGTGCACAAAAACGACCTAAAGAAAACCTGTACTTGCCTTTTATGTTCCAGGGGATAGTGGACTGCATCTACCAGCACATTATTGCTCTGAAAGGACCTGCCATTTCATAAACGGCGTTGAAAAGCACCGTGCCTTTTCCCACCGGAACTCCTACCTTACCAGGGAACAAACAGGCCCTGGTCTTTTCCAGGAGCTCTGAGATCACCTCTCCCCACACTACCCCCTGACAGCAGCGAACACGAGCACACCTGGGCAGTTGGGCCTGTCACAGGTCCGGGACTCGGTGGCCGTGCAGGCGTATCCGCAGGACCGCGTCCGCTTCTGGTTCCCGCTCCCGCAGGTGACGCTGCACGGGGACCACGGGCTCCAGTCGCCCTCCCCGTCAATGTAATCTGGGCAAGAACAAAGATGAGGAAGGAAATGAAGAAACAAAACTCCTACCGCCCAAAAACTACTGTGTTAGTGTTTTTTATTAAGAAGGCAAAACAAGAATGGGATCCAGATGTCTCTACCTGAAGCTCGGGCCGAGCGCCAGGCGCAAGCCTGCTGTTTAAATGGTTTTCACACTTGATGCTCCTCAGGGAAACGCATGCAACATTATTTGAAAAAATATTTCCTTTCTCTCTTGACCTTTTGGCAGCTGAGAATCCTCAGCTGCAAAGCTGGGTCGTGAACTAACCGTCTACTCGCATAATTTCCCTGCATATATAGGAATACGTTTGCTGACCACAGACTAATCAGGCAAGGGATAAATTAAGTTTTCTTGGTTTTTGTCTTTTCAGAACACACAGAAAGAGCACAACAGTAATCAGTTAATTAATTTTTAGGGCAAGCTGCGTGTTGGGCTATGGGAAGCTGGGGGTCATGCGTGAAAATTGCAATTTTGCTTTTCGGTGCCTTGAACAGGGAACATATTTCAGGAATATGCTTTGAGCACAGGGAACCACATACACGTTTTGCACTGAGGGCAACGTGCAATTTGTAGTGTTTCATGTGAATTATTAAACAACACCAAATCTAACTGTTTAAGCAAATCTAACTCTTTACTAGCAGGCATCTTCTGAAAATGACACATGACTTCATTTTCTTCTGGTAGAAAGCCAAAGGCACAGGATACCAAGTCTGCACCACCACGGCTCGGTGCCCCTGTAAGTATTCAAATCCCTCAGCACTAGTCTGCTCTGTTTGCTGCTGCACGTCCCACCTGGTAAAGGCCACCAAACACAGCCCATGAACACTTCCCAGTTTTCTTGCCTCCCCAGCTGAGGAAGGAACATTTGGCCTGATGGTTTCCTCTGTGACCTACAGGAGATATTTAACTGACCCTGTGATCATAACTTGTGGCTGTAGCTCCTTGGGGTTACGCCAGCACTGGCAGCAAAGCAAAATCTGGTTTGGTGGCTTTGAGCCAGCCCTGCTCCACAGCTATAGGTGAGAGTACCTAAGCTGCACAAGACCCAGGGACAGATCCCTGCCTTCCCTGGCCCCTGTGCTACACGCCATTCCTGCTTCCCTCAACAGCCCTGCTGTCTGTGGGCTTCCTGAGCTGGTTAGTAGAACACGTAACTTGATTTGTACCATATGTAATGACTGACGACAACTCTGTGGGGTGCTATTAAACATTTATTGCCAGGAGTATGGGAAGGTTATATATCTCGCTCGTAGCAAGCTGCCTGAGATGTGAGTTCCTCGTGGCAGGGACCTCTATGTGTTTCTCCTCCCTTTCTTACATGGCTGACAACTGGGAAGCCACCACAGTGTCTAGGGTGGGATGAGGACCGTGGTCAGCATCGATGTGTAAGACCCACAGTTCTGGGATTTGCCAACAGGCAGGCACTGCAACAGTCTGAAAAGGCATCAGATGTCTGAGGAAAATGTGATCTGCCCTCTGGCCCTGGCCCTGCTCTCCTTCCCAGCTCTTTTCCAACTTCCAGGAGTTTTTTCTTCGTGCGGCTGGCAAGGCATAGGGCAGGTGAGCAGGTGCAATGCCTGTCCAAGAGGCTGGGAGGCCCAAGAAGGGCAAGCAGAGTGGGCAGGGATTTTTGGCAGGGCAGGAGGAGGGAGAGCCATGAAAGGTGTGAGCAGGTCAATGGGAAGAATGAGCTTCGAATCCCCACAGGGACAGGATCTGCTTCTACATCCTCCTGGACAAGGCCAATGGCACATGGCATTTTAGGTTAGTCGGAAGGCCAGGAGTGTTCCCAATTAATAGGATGCTCTGGTGTGCAGCAGAGAGCTCTAGGATAAGTTTTAGACCTATCTACTTAGTGTTTACACTGCAGTATTGAATGTATCACATTAGGTTTTCAGCTGGAGCTCAACCTGTTCTTCCTATTTTTGCCTTTGTAATTCTTAGTATTTTTTTTCCTACCACAATTACTTGTGAAAGCAATTTTATTTAAGTTAAATGAATAAGTACCTAAGATACGAATTCTTGGCAATAAAGCCAGCCCACAAATAAATGTAGGTGCAAAAAGAAGGGATAGACTTCAATCTTTTGGCCACAAAATTTAATACATATGTATGTGTTTAAAGAGACCATTCCAAAAAAAAAAGGTTCTTTTGATTTTTAAGGCTCTAGGACTTAAAGTTAACCAAATCATGGGAAAAATAAGACTGAATCAGTGCATGACAGCCACTCTGGAGAACACAAAAAGTGCCAGGGTTAAAAGCACTGTGGTTTTGAAACCTTGTTCTGACTAAAAGTTGTCTGTATTTATATTCAACTTAAATCCAAGGGGCTCTGAGCTTCCTGTGAGCACAGTTTAGCTCACCTCCCTTGAGTCATTCCCGTGTGGATGGTTACAGCCCATCAGGGCAGTGAATAGCTGTAGCTCCTCTCTGTTTCTAGTTTCTGCAACTGTTTCATACAACAAGCTGAAAACAATTGTTTTCGCCGTGACACATCTGGAAGAGAATTACACACGCAAATACACAATGTTCCTGCTGCACATGCCACTCCCCACACATGCACCAACATAATTCATCTTATTTGTGCATCCACCAAATACTACCATGTTTTAGATCCTGCTTATTTATCCACTAGTTGTATTTTGGTTCCCAAACCACCGCACGATTCTAAATTTGTACTTACTCTAAAAATAAATACGAAACCTTGTTTCCTTTGCTTTTAAAAAAAAAAAAAGCACACTTTGGACTAAAAAAAGCCCCTCTTCTGGGATAACTGGTATGATTTGCAAGATTATAGACTTACTAGTGGAATGCAGCTACCACAGTACAGCTTGTGCATCTGCACAGATTTGTACTTTAAAAGCTGATGAACAAAAGCCACATGTTGAAAAATCCTATTTTGCTTGGCCTGCTCTCAGCGCTGCCTCACCATTCTCATTTCCCCCGAGCTCATTTTTACAATCCCAAGGTGCCCGTGAGAGGCCTGGAACGCAAACTCACCATACTCTGGCTGCTCCTTGGACTCGAACGTCCGGTGCCCGGGCGCACGACCATCCCACCCACCGAGAGGGTTGAGGAAGTTGCTGTCCTCGGTAGTGCTGTCGTACTTGTAGTCCTGGTCACCGCTGCTCATGCGAGTCAAGGTGGAGGACCTTTGCCACCAGCTCCTCCAGTCAGGTGACGGCACTGGCCAGCTGGGCTTGCCGCTCTCCTTCTGCAGGTCCTTGTCTGTCTCGCTGTCGGGGCCATCCACCACTTCAATGGTAACCTGTGGGGTTCGACACAGACCGGCCTGGCTGTCAGTACCTCCTCCTGGTCAGGGGGAAACTCTCTATACAGCAAAGGCAAATGCCTGGTGCTGCCTTGCAGAGGGGCTGTGCGACACCCTCAGGCTCACATGTTGAAAACCATCTGGGGATTACTGAGCCCAGAGATACGCGGCGGCTGAGTGGTTCCTTCTGCTACCTCTGCTGAATCGGAGCTTGGAACAAAGGCCAGGAAAAATCCTGCACAAAATAATAACCCATGCTGTGCCCAACACCTTTGCAGCAGTTTTCTGCCTTATGGGGGAAAGACGTTTAGAGCTGAACATACATGAGGAGGAAAAAGAAAACCTAAATCTGTACTCTTAATTATGCTGCGCCTGAATTTGAGGAAAGCACAGAGCACATGAGAGTGCAGAAGCCATTCCAAGGACTTGGACTGACTCAAGACAGGGCTAAGCAAGCCCATGAGTGTGAAGGTGAAGATGCAGAGCCTGGAGTACCTCTGGGTTTGCATCTGTCTTGCCCTCTGGCAGCAGCCCAGCCGTTACCGCTACATGAAACCACGCTCTGAGGCAATTATGGGAACCAGCAGCTCCTTCAACCATGGACTTGCTGCAAAGCCCTGTGAAGTAGGTCCTTTTTTCATGCTGGAGAGTATAATGGCCTGTTATGGTCAACCTGCTTATGGTTTCTACAGAAGCCCAAAGCCAAAATTCAAAGTTTGCTGCCCCATTCCCTCACAGACATCACGAATGTAAATATGATTCTGTGTAGGAGCAACCCTTGATTGTTGCCTTTCTGTGCCGAACAATGTGCAACTGTGAAATTCTTTTCTGTGCTGAACAATGTGCAATTGTGAGCACTGTGTGCACATAGGTGGCTATTTAGGTAGAAGCAGGGACTAGCCATCAGAAACCTTGGCCACAGATAGATCATAAAATGCTCTGATGTTTCATGGTTCAGTGATTACACTGGACTGGCTAAACAAGGAGAAGTGACTATCAGATATGTCTATAAAGTTTAATAGAGGCATTCTCAATGTTTTATAGAGCTGCAAAGCAGTCTTTCAAAGTCACGTTGTACATACCCAGAAAAACCAGAATAACGTACTATTATGCTAAAAAAAGTCATTTATGTGGCTCTGTGGATGTGCATCGTGGATAAAAAGTTAGTTTTATACAACTGCTGTTAGTAAAATCACAAGACACAAGAAAAAGAAAGAAAAGATCACAGCCACCTGAAGCCTACAGAGGAGTGGGACATAGGAAGCAAAGCAGCAGTGCTGCCATGTCTTTGCAGCTGCAGGCACAGACAATGCCCACACATCCTTTGCTTGGAGAAAGGAGATTTTGGACCTATTTCACGCTTTGCATTTGACCGCAGACAAAGCCATTGAAATGAAACAACTTGGAGGCTACTATGAAGGTCCACTGGGAGACAGGGGGCAAGAGCAAGGGAAAGTGCAGTTGTCAGCCCAACAGCATCTTTACACAAGAGGGATTTCACTCCCAGGCTGTGCATGGAATCGGCATGATTACTTCATTAAACCTCAGTTTCTACAGACCAAGAATTAAAACGGATTTCATAACTTTGAAAACATCAGGGTTAGGTCAGGGATTCAAAACTGTTGCATCTGTCCAAGCAAAACAGAGTTTTCACAATAAGTGAAAGGAAATCACGTTACTGAGCGGCAAACACTGGCCAGTAGTGGGGCTTTGGTGCTCCCCACCTGAAAATTAGCACGACTCCAGAACTTTGGTAGCAAGTATTTTTTAAGACCACACCAACTCTGTAAGCAATGACTCAGCAAAAAGTGGAAAGGCCAAACAAAACAAAAAACCTCAAACCAAACCCTCTGATAAAAAACAATGATAATCATTCCATTTGCTCTGCTAATCTGCAGCTGTGTGACAGTCAATCAGCATGAACTCGCATTATTTCAGCCAGGTACAGCTTGAAGAACCACAGGGATTTGATTTTAAATACTGATGAATGATGCCAAGCCAGTTTAAGGAAAAGAGGGTTTGTAGGGCTAGAGAAACTCCTGTTGAGCTTGGTGCTAACACTGGTGAGGAAAGGCAGATGGAACACACACACCTCCAGCACTGTCAGACTTTCACCAGCACTGTCACTAATTTACTTTCAAGACATACCTGTGCAATCAGATATCCCCTTCAGTCTGTTTTTACCACTAAGGAAGCTTATTGCAAAGGCCTTTAAAATGAGTTTTCCAACACACAGCCTATTTAAAACTCCAAAATAGCAATGTGGTAGCCTGACACACACCTATGTCCCTCTCTCTGCTGCTTTAAGCTTTGGTTACCAAAGTGTTTGCTTAATATGTGGCATAAAAACCATGGAGTGAAAGAAACTCTGTGGAGAATCCTGGGATTGTCTGAACTGCCACTGTCAGAAATGAGGAGGCAGCTTCAGTCAGCTCTGTTGCAGTCTTTGCAGGGACTTGGCTGTGCCCTGCCCAGCTCCATTTAACTTTATGGACCTGCCAGAGGCAGGGAGGAAATCAGTGCCTAATCCCAGTAATCCCTCCATCACAGGACCTAAAAGTTAGGGCAGAGGTGTGAGAAGAGGCTGCTGCTTTAGGAGAACAATTGCTCCCAGTCTAAAATTTGGAAAAAATGAGCATTCATTGAATTCTTCCCAGTACTTAGGGATAGACTTAACACCATTAGTCTATGACTGTACTTGTGTGTGTATATATATATATCTACATATCTATATATATCTATCTATATCTCCTTGTACATATACATGGTCCTCAAACATGGAACTTGTTTGATCAGTTCCTATACTGGAGGCTGTTTACATGAAGGAAAAAAGGGAATCAGATCTAGAACTAGAATAATAAAAAACGGGCATTTAGAGCAGCTCTGGAAAAGTTTTCACGCTCTATAGCTATTCCAACAAAAACATGTCCCTCTTAAAAAGTAAAAAAAGGGTCTGGTTTAGTATTTCTATCTTGGAGACGGTTTCAAAGACTGATTTCTTCTTTCAGTGATTATCAAAACTGTAAAGATTTTATTTTCCCTCCAGCTTCCCAAAATGTCTGTGGTAACACAGTTCTTGTATAAATCCACAATCATCCCCAGAAGTATTCCAACCTAAAATGAAGCCACTTTTTTTTTATGGTTGTATAAGCTATGAATTAAGGACATTCCTCCAAAAACTGTTAAAAGCAATTGGCGTAGGTATGTCAGACCAACAAATTTGCAGTCAATTTCTAATGAAACAAGTGTATCAAGCACAGATGTCGTCAGACACCAACATCCAATTTTCTCCTGGCCAAAAATATACAGAAGATAAATATTATCCCCGCCTGTTGGAGCGCACAAAGAGTTCTGTGTTCATCCTGTTTACTGAGACAATGTTTTTGAATTCACTTTATTGGTGTAAACATTGCCCTAAGCAACTGGAAGATTGTGTTTCAAGAAAAACTACATTTACAATATTGTGCAAGCTGTGGATGCTATGATATTTCTGACCTTTGTGTCTTTCATGCAATTGATGCATATTTTTAATGCAGAACTTGCCACTCTGTAAAGATGAATCTGTGCAAGTCAGCAACAAGGTAACTATAACAGAAGAGAAATGAGTTCATGATAAGGGATTAAAATGGTAAAATTAGCATTACACCACTTAACAACTCCAATTAAAATGCTATCAGTAGTGACACCAATTTACTTTTGGTTGTGTCATGTCACTTAGAACAGTTTTCAGGACTCGATGGAAAGTGAATGGCCCTCAAAATCTTCTAGGAGCAAAGAGGACAAGGTGGCTCAAACCCCGAAATTTATATTGTAATGTTGTCAATCCAATTTGTAATCTCTGATGGGCCAAACCAAACTCCTGAGAGCTCTGAATTTTGCACTCTGCAGTGAGCTCTTATTACATACACCATGACATTAAGAAAACTGCACAGAGGTAGCAACAGTTAAACCACTTTCAATACCAATTTCTGGTATTTAACTGTGGCCTTCTGGCCCCCTGCTCTGCCTACACTAATCTCTGCAGCTTGCCAGAGGGACTAGCTAGTTCCTGAAGGTTACATCAAAAAGTGCTTCCAGTGCTTTGCTACTACCTCAAATTATTAAGCCTTACAGGAATCACAAGAAACAAGCACTACTGGAGCCTTCCAGTTCCTCCTGTGCTAAATTAGAGATGGGACTAACTGGTCAGATACTACTGAGTCTTTGGTGATAATACCAAGAGGGTGTTGCTTTCTAATGCAGTGAAACCAGCAAGCTTCAAATATAAAATGATACCTAAAACCCACATCTAATAAAATGTGTGAAAAGTGACACGCAGTCTAGGTGGAGGTGAGGGAAATGAAGAGCTGATTTGAAATCTGCAGATCTTTAAGCTCCTTTCTAACCCCAACCATTCTATGGTTCTGTAAGTTTTCCCTTTTCTGCTCATTTGTCATGGCGTTGAGCACTGCTGGGGAAGCAGCAAAGCAGTGGGGCAACAGAGAGCAGCACATCACTACCTGCACTTGTTACAGTCCACAAGCCTGGGAAACCAGCAGGAAAAAGAAAAAGAGGGAGGGTACAAGAGCAAAAGTTCACTTGCAAGTTGAAACATCTGGCTTCAAACAGAGGGTCAGCTGCAAAGAGCAGATGTTGTAGAAGGCTGGTTGGAACAGACAAGAGAAACCCATCAGAAATGGAAAATAGGCAGGTTCCTATACACCTCCCACGTGACATCATTCTGCTACTCAGGGGTAAGAACAATTCTCACTCTGAATAATAACCCTGCCCAATTACAAGGTCATCAAAGGAGTGCAAACCAAGACAAAAAGGGATTTTCCACTTGTGAAAGGAAATCCGAAGAAAACGCGTGATCAGTTCTTGTAATCACATTCTCATCCAGAGGTCTTCCAGGCATTGACAAGAGCTGTTAAAATGACAAAAAAGCAGCAAACAAAATACCCCAAACCAAAGAGCCAGACTTTGCTCAACAGCAGCTACTGCGGTTACTCTCAAACAATCAGCGTGGAAGCAACGCTAAAGCCCAAAATGCCACTTGAAAAGAGGGGAGGTTTTACAAGGCTGGAACACCACAGGAAGGCCAGTAAGTGTTGTCTTGGTCTTGCATGCAAAGAATCAAATTGCATTTGAATTACTGCAGCTCTGGCTGTTGTTTCTAAAGGGTTTTCTTGTCTGTTGTACTTACATTTGATTATTTATCGTCTGATAAATACAGCAGTACCTGGGGGGCATGGAAGCTTTCTGAATTCCTGGGATGGTGTTCTGATATTCATCACTTCCTCCCTGAGAGGGCACACAGCAGGGCATCATAGAGCAAGTGCCATCTCACAGGAACCAGATAAGGAATGGCCACAAAGGGAACTCACTGCAGTATCTTTTCCACCTGGTTTTTCATCTGAATTTTATGTCTCTTTACTAGGTATTTAAAATTTCCAGGTATAATTTCCTTCAAAAAATGTTATTTTTGGTCTAGGAAAGTTTATAGCCCAGGAGAAGGGAAAAGAGGTTGTGAGTCTTTGAAAAGAAAATGTGGCAATTGTGCCATCTTAACACATGGGCTGGTTTTTTTTTCTCCTTTCCAACCTCCCGGTCCCAGGAGGACTTTTAAATCAACACTCCCAGGATTGTAACTTCCACAGTCTGAAGCCACTGTGCAAAAAGACAAGTGAACATCTATTCTGCTCTCACCTGCCAAACAGCTGATGAGAAATTTACAAGTCAACAAGTGTCACTATTTCTGTTCAGGTCAATATGGTAAAGAGCAAGAGTTCACTATAACCCTTCCTTTCCTAAAAGAATAGGCCACCTTTTATGGCCTTTAGGCAAAGAAATAAACTTTCTCTGACTCTGCAAGGATTTAATAGGAGTTTTATTTCCATGAGGCTTGACCTACTGCAGGACTGTCAACCAGAAACTTTGTATATCCCTATTTACACACCTAAGCAAACAGAATAAATGCAGAGTAAAAATATAATGCAGGACTTAGGGAATCTGTTTCTGAAAGAGCTCATCCTTGTGCACAAGAGCTCTGGGATCAAAGTTGCCCAATGTTTTCCAGTTTACAGGACTAGTCTTCCCAATTCTCAGAGTCCAGCAAAACTGCTGACAGAGTTGCTGACACATTTCCAAGATCAGGTGGTGGAAAAAGAGGTCACAGCAGCAGCAGTTACTACAAAGACAAGCCAGGGAACTGTTTCCATCTCTTTTATCTATTCCCTGGGTCTAAACACAGTATGCTGTTACCAATCAGAGAAGGTTTTTGTTTCTTCCTGTCCTTCTCTGGTTTACATTCTGTTCAAACAATGATGTACATTATTTACCTCATGCCACAATCTGTGGCCCTTATAGCTTCCCAACCTTCCCTTCCTAAGGCTTTCTGAAAGGGTTTTCCTACCTAGTGTGAGAGAACTGTTCAGTCACCACATGTTGAACGTGTTTCCTACCTTGGCCCCCCAAGTATCAGACCCACACTTGACCCAAATCTGTGAGGTTTCTAAATGCTGCAAGTCATCTGTGGTGAATGCAGTGGAGTGGCAGCTTGTTCTCACCCAATCTCAGAATGATGGAATGGTTTGGGTTGGAAGAGACCTTAAAGATCATCTTGTTCCAAACCCTTGCCATGGGCAGGGACACCTCCCACCAGAACAGGTGGCTCAAAGCCCCATCCAAGCTGCCTTTGAACGCTTCCAGTGATGGGACATCCCCACCTTCCCTGGCCAACCTGTGCCAGGGGCCTCACCATCCTCACAGTAAAGAAATTCTTCCTAAAACTAAACTAAACTCACCCTCTGTCAGTTTAAAACCATTCCCCCTTGTCCTCTGACTCCACGTCCTTGTAAAAAGTCCCTCTCCAGCTCTCTTGTAGCCCCTTTAGGTACTGGAAGGGGCTCTAAGGTTTCCTTGGAACTTTCTCCCAGCCCCAGCTCTCCCAGCCTGTCCTCACAGGAGAGGTGCTCCAGCCCTCTGAGCATGTTGGCCTCTCACCAGCAGATCTATTACATCTTTACATACGTACTTCTTAGACGTATCAAAAGCATGGTAATTTTGTGGGCTGGGGGACTGTAAGAAGCCAGGAATTAATTTAACCAGAAAACCAGATCTATTAGTGTATTGTTTTTATAAGCACATCTTAGGCAGAACAACATTTGAATTTATTGTTTTGGTTAAAAAGGACTGCTTATTAATGCCAATTTTGCTTTAAGGCTCTGAATTAAAAACAAATCACTCATTTTTTCCTCTTTCCAATCCTTGAAGTTTCAAGATGTAAGTGGCTTGTAAGAGGCTGTTCCAAACCCAAGAAAAGTTTGAGGAATAACATATAACAAAGTTTCTTGCAGACAACCTTTTTTTTTAACTCCAAGCAGCTGCTGCAGAAATTAAGTCTCGGTTCCATACAGCACATTTTGAGCTGAGACTGAAAGATTTATTCTCTTACAACCTTTGGAGATGTTTCCATTTTATAAAAGCATAGCAAAAGAGGAACTAACTGTTCACAAACAAATTTTACAACAATAAATCTAGATAGAAATTTCTAAGATAGAAATTAAAATACCCATCTATTAGCAATGAAGTTAATATGCTCCAAAACGGCAATCACAAAGATGGGCTTGGCATCATAAACAGGTCTACACTGATCCCCACACTTACGCAATCAACACTATCTAAGGAGAAATTCAGAAAAAAAAATGAAATATGTGCACTGACTTGGAGACAAAAAGTATACAGTAGATATGTTTTATATATATATTTTATATCTAATACTATGCTACATGATATTATATTATACCCTATACATTTCCTCTCGGTGCTGTTGGTAGAGGCAGATTATTCTGACAGCGTGCCACGGAAGCCAGGCTGAAAGTTGTCTTGGTTTAGTAAAATAACTTCATGCAAGACATAAAAAAAGTCAGATGTGTTAACATAAATTTGTACCTGAATGTTGGGATTCTGCCCGTTGATGTCTGCTTTTGACAGGTCGGGGAAGTTTGGGAGGTCCAGGAGGAAAGATCTGGGTCCGTCTCTCTGCAGGGACGTGTGCCCGTTCTCCTGCCGGAATCGCTGCTTAGGGAACGGCCGGTGGGCAGCCTGGAGATCGGGGTATTCCCTGTGGTCCTCGGGGTTCAGGGTGAAGCTGTCTTCAGGAGAATGGTCATCTGCACTCAGTGTGTTCTGGGGAAGAAAAGCAACACATTATGATGACAACTGTCAGTCCTGCCAGTGCCCCCATCTGTCTGCTGGCTCAGCCCTGCAGCACCCAGACCCACTGCTCACTGCTGGGACAGAAATCTGTGACCATCTGACATGATATAAAACTGAGTCACACTTGGAGGTTTAGCTCTTCCAACTTCCTGAACCATTCCAGCTTTGGTGTGAGCACCCACACATTGGCACAAACACCAGACTTCAAACGAATGTAGAAACATGAAGCTCTGAATCGACCCCTGGGAAATCAAACTGTGTCCCATTAAATGTGTCCCTAAAAATGGTGAAAGATATCCTTCTTATAAATCATTTTTAGTTTGCTTTGTTCCAAAGTGAAGCAAAAACACTGACTGCCCAGTCCATGTTGAAATTTATGGTATTAAAAGATCCTACCGCTGAGCTGGCAACCTCCCCTTCTCTCCCCTCAGTCTGCAGCAACTTCCATCTCGTCGCCTGTGTTCCTCACCCAATATCTCTGGTCTTGAACATCTGAACCTTCCTTCCTCTGGGACCTCATTTTCATGTTTGCCTAATGGTGGGATTGAATTTCAGCGAGCTGTGGGTCAGCGGTTAATGCTTTTGTTATTGTTGAGCGTACTTTGGTGTTTTGTAGTACATTACAGCAGGCTGCCCCCGCACCAGTAGCGCTGCTGCCACTGCCTTTGACCTCACCAAGGAGACACATTTAGTATCAAAACACGGCCTCCCTGGGTTAGGACCGGCCTGGGGACTTGGAGGAAAAAAAACAGCAGAGAAGTCCAATGTTCTTATGGGTAAAAAAAAAAAAAAAAAAAAAAGCAAGGCACGGGGTAGACTCAGCACAGGTTTTGGTTTTGACTCAGCTGAAAAGTTTCAGGCTTGAGGTCTTAGTATGACTGCCTGGGGAGTTTTTATTTTCAGTTCATAAAGAGACAGCAAGCATGGAGAGGGTAAATGTTAAAGACCTATCTTTTAAAACAAGCACAATTAAAGTGGAATGGCCACATGTGGTTCTGGCTCTACTGAGGCATATTTTTGCCAGCGTTTCTGGTTAAATGCAATCTCCATCCAGCTCTCCTGGTTCAAATTAAGCCATAGCATACCTTTAGCTAAGCTCTCAGATAGATAACAGCTCCAATGCCTTTTATTTTGTGTTTATTTGCTTAGAAGGTTCTAAATTGACCTTTAAAGAGATTTTACAATATAATCTGTGCCCATTACAGAAAAATATTCAGTGAGTTAAATAAACTAAGATTTAAGAGTTAATCTGGGACTAAGTGAAACTGTCTCAAGCAACAACAAAGGTGGTTCTCCTGTCCCCTCCTTGTTGCACTCCATTTGTGGAGTCCAAAAATCAGATTCAGCAGAATTAATGTTGTCTTGGTATTGTCATACCCAAAAGGGTAATTTGATATATCTGTCTACAACACAGATGCATAAACATTGTTCTGACTTGGTGTATGTGTGCAGTGCTAAAAATGTATGTGCTCCTGCCAATCTGCATTATTTGAGGGCTAAAACGTAGACCCTTCTCTTTGCTGAACACCAGGAAGCACTTTCAGTTGCCTTTGGTGGCCCACCCATTATTCAATATAAAGCAGACTGCACGGCAGCAAGCTCTGGGAAACAAAATTGAGGGTCACTAAGACAACTCAGATGTGCTTTAACTTCATATTTTTCAAATAGAATCTCACCATAAACTTCCTGGTGGCTTCTCAGTCACGTCTGACTAACAACAAGGTGTGATTGTGCTGTTATTAAATTACTTCAGTCAGGAAGAAAAAAAAAAAAAAAAGATGCTTAACTGCTTTTACTGGGGTATCATGCCCATAATCTTGCCTTTATTAAAAATAAAGTAAGATTTTATTAAAAAATAATAAAATTCTCACATACAATTTCATACTTTCCCTATTTGCTTGCCGCTTCGAGAGCATCCTGATTCTCCACATTAACATACCATGCAGCTCGAGCTGATGGAGGACTTAAAGACCTGTATTTAATTCCCTGATAAGACTTGCTGTGGGATCCTGACAGGTCATGCTCTGTCTGTGCCTCTGAGGGGATAACAGCACTTCCCTTCCTCACTGTGATGTTCGTGGGGAGCTCAGCAACTACAATAATAAAGGCTATATAAAAAGTTTTTAATAGTGTCAGACAGATGGAATATCACATGGAGTTAGTTAGGAAATTGTCATGGTGAAGTAATGACATCAGGCTGATCGGGCCCACTACCAAGCTGCTTGGGGCAGGGACTGTCATTAATTAAAGCCTGAATGAGATGGGGTTCAATGCTAAAAAGGAAAATAGAGAGAGGACAAGATAACTGCTCTATCCCAAAGGCTGTTGCAGGGAAGGGAGGATGGACCACTCTGCTTGCTCAGGGTGGACTCTGGACCCAAAGACCCCATTTCCACGTTAGGTGCACAGGCAGTGTTATCTCTTGTCCTTCTTTTGCACTAGGACGAGCTCAAGCTATTCCTCCTTGGGGCTCCTGTGTCGTGTTGCAACACAGGCAAAGGGGAATGCTCAGTGTGTGTGATTGCTCCAGTTCCCTGCTCACAGGACCAGGAGTGAAAGGCCATGTCTAAAATGAGACAGACTGCCTGTTTTTTAGGTAGCTGCTTCTTGCTTTAGTGTCTAAGCTGATTTGCAGTAATACTAGAAATGTACATTTCTGGTAAGAAAAGATAAAAGTGAGCTTGAACTGCATACGAAGAGAAGAATATGCTCACTCTGCTCTACTGCATTAGCTCAGCAAAGGCTCTTCCAAGACCCATCTAGCAGGAAAAAGTGTGTCCTTACTGCAGTGCCGGCACCCTTTCGGAAGAAAACAGTGTTTGTGTTCCAAAGCCAATAGATGAACTTTAATTTAGGTTGTTGGTTTTCAGGGGGGGATGTTCTTCTCTTCTTATTTCTGCGTTATTTCCCATGTTTATATTTCACACTATTTGTTTTTAGGTGTACACAATTTGTATTTCTGATGCTTTTTGGAAAGCAGTGTTGCTTGCCTTCCTTTAAAAGCTGTGTCACTTCATTCTGAACTACTGACTCAGTTTCTTTGACGTTATGACATTTCTAATTCAGGCACACTGGTTTCTTACTCAAATGATGCATCTGCTCTAAATATTTTAAGATGAAACACTTTCTTTCCTTCATTTAACGGGATTATTCACAACTTCTATACTTTCCATTAAGATGATTTTAAGAGGTTACTCATGCTGGCTGTCAGCTACAGTTCTGCAGCCCCACGGAATCAGATGATTATAGAAGTTCCTGATCCAAAACCAGCTTAGGATTTTTGAGTGTTCCGAGAGTGGACAGTATATAAGGGCAGGAACATATTATCCATAGTTGTTTGACAAGGCACTGAATTAAACCCTTGAGAGAAATTTTGCATTACAAAATAACACACCTGGCAACACCCATCACTGAAAAAGGGAGGGCAATAGGTCAGTGATATGCACTTTGTGTCCATCTGCAAACCACGGAAGAAGAGCAATTCCCAGGGATTTTGTGAGGATAATTTCACATGTTGGTGATCCAGGAGGGGCTTGCACGACGGCATCCACCACTGGCATCATGGTTGAAGGCACCAAGAGACAATGCAGGAGAAATGTTCTGCCTGATACTGCAGTTTAACTCTTCAGTAATCTAGTGGGTATTTTAACTCCCCCCTTGGCCTTCACGTGTTGTTTCTCCCTCTGTCACGACAGACATGAGCTGCAGGGAACTGTACTGTTCCTCTTCCCACAGAGAAACTAAGCAGAAATGAGAACTTGTAAAAATACCAAACTAGGGAAAAAGGGAATTTTTCTGCAATTTGAGCAAGTAATGAATTCTCTCTTTCTTAAGTTTAATCCCATCTCCAGTTCTGGAAAAACAACCGAGACAGAGAATAAGTAAGAAATTACTGTAGCCACAGAAAATATTCTGAAGCAGCTGCTCTTTCTCTGTCCTTTATATTTGTTACCTTCCTTCATTCCCTCCCCACTTGCCAAACTAAGGGCGCATTTGCAAGCACTGCTAATTATGGAGTTGAAAGAATTTGGGAAAACTGATGCAACTTATATGCTAACAGCTCCCAGACAGCAAGGGAATCTATTACTAAATCCCCGCTGCAGCTACATTGCTTTTTTTATTTCTTGTATACTCCTTTGAAATATCTTGTAAAATGATCTTGACAAGAGGTTTTGAACTGAAACCCAACGGTCTGTCAGTGCACTTTCATGATGCACCTGTACAGCATCTTCAACCACCAGCAACAAGGAACATTTATTTATTAGGAAACTTCACAGACGCTATAAAAGATTATATTGCTATCAGAGACAAAATGAGGCCTGGGGCCTTCACAGAAAACCATTACAGCCATTAGGACCGGTTTCATTTCCCACCTGCCTAAACAGATTGTTTTCATTTCGAAGGCTGTCGTGTGTTTCCAGGTTAGTGCTAAATGATCACTTTAAAATTAACCGGCCTGGGGAGGCCGAGTAACACACCGGGACACTACACGAGACTCCCACCTCCACACATCCAGGATCTGTAATGAACTTGGGTGATCTAATTCCTGGGGTTTATTTATTTATTTATTTATTTATTTATTTATTTATTTATTTATTTTTCTATCATGAGTGTAAATAGCACAGAACCTACCAGGAGGAGGTATCAGGACAGTGTTGGAGGAGCAGGCAGAGAGGTTAAAAGCTGGGAAGAATTATCAGAGATACACAAAGATTTCTCTTATGATTAATGCCACGTACAGTCCAGGCAGTCAGACAGAAGTCAGACCAGAGGGGTGTCACATCAACCACCCAGCTAAGACATCCTCATTTTTCCTTAAAATGTGCTTGCCCCTCACTCATATATGGCAATGAAGTGAAAGGCCTTATTTATCTTTAGAGAACTGCACAGACTAATTGTTTCAATAATTAATAGCACGTTTTAGATAATCACTGCTCATAAATAATTTAAACCAGGCTACAATGGCTTGCATGCACACA